CAGTTGTATGTCTTAAATGTAATGTAAATGTTGCCTTCGTGTGTGGTTTGGGGCCATCTTCGTGCGAAATTCACAATTCCATATTCGTGTGTCCATCGGGTGTCAATTTCGGGACAGTGTGACAGGGCCTTAAATGAACACTAGAACCGCCTAACCCGGATACTGACGGGCTGTCAGGAGAGAGAGAGAGAGAGAGAGGAAAAGAGATGCCTCGTTTATTTCCCCTGTGTTATTATCAGAAGTTACTGTAAACTTTTGAATAATGTAGTTCATCTACTTTTAGTAGTTTGTTTAAATGTTTTAATTATGTTGTTTTTGTTTGTAGAAGTGCATCATTCTTTGATTTATTGTAAAAATGAATCTGAACTTTTTGATCTGTTATGATGATAAACTGAAGCCATTTCAAAATTAACCCAATTAAGTGAGTTTTAAATCGTCCTACTTAGTTTATAAGGAAATTATGAAGAGGAACAAATTAAATGATTTGAAAATGATATATATGTACAGTTGCAAGAAAAAGTATGTGAACCCTTTGGAATTACCTGGATTTCTGCATAAATTGGTCATAAAATGTGTTCTGATCTTCATCTAAGTCACAACAATAGACAAACACAGTCTGCTTAAACTAATACCACACCAACAATTATATGTTTTCATGTTTTTATTGAACACACCATGTAAACATTCACAGTGCAGGGTGGAAAAAGTATGTGAACCCCTAGGCTAAAGACTTCTTCAAGAGCTAATTGGAGTCAGGAGTCAGCCAACCTGGAGTCCAATCAATGAGACGAGATTGGAGGTGTTGGTTAAAGCTGCCCTGCCCTATAAAAAATACACACCAGTTTTGAATTTGCTATTCTTAAGAAGCATTGTCAGATGTGAACCATGCCTCGCACAAAAGAGCTCTCAGAAGACCTACGATTAAGAATTGTTGACTTGCATAAAGCTGGAAAGGGTTACAAAAGTATCTCTGAAAGCCTTGATGTTCATCAGTCCACGGTAAGACAAAGTGTCTATACATGGAGAAAGTTCAGCACTGTTGCTACTCTCCCTAGGAGTGGCCGTCCTGTAAAGATGACTGCAAGAGCACAGCGCAGAATGCTCAATGAGGTGAAGAAGAATCCTAGAGTGTCAGCTAGAGACTTAAAGAAATCTCTGGCACATGCTAACATCTCTGTTGACAAATCTACGATACGTAAAACACTGAACAAGAAAGGAGTTCATGGGAGGACACCACGGAGGAAGCCACTGCTGTCCAGAAAAAACATTGCTGCACGTTTGAAGTTTGCAAAAGAGCACCTGGATGTTCCACAGCACTACTGGCAAAATATTCTGTGGACAGATGAAACCAAAGTTGAGTTGTTTGGAAGGAACACACAACGCTATGTGTGGAGAATCCAAAGGGTTCACATGCTTTTTCTTGCAACTGTATGTGCTGGGTCCAGGCTGAAGGGCGTATGGCACTCTCAACTATTTCCAGGACATGCCGGGGCCCTGCCTGCCAGTAGCTTTGCCGATATCTGTGTTGATAGGTAATAGATTGAGAGCGGTGAATCAGCTTAGAAACAGGAAGCGCTCAAACGTTTGTGTGAGTTTATCAAATTTAGCAGTGATTCCATGTCAGCCACAGCTTGTCACAAAAAACCTGACTGATAGTGTATTTAACGAACTTAGACTAGCTTTATTAAATGTCAGGTCTTTGGCAGGAAAAACGTTTTTAATCAATGATTGTATCACTGAGCACAATCTCGATTTTATGTTTTTAACGGAAACTTGGTTTGAACAAAATAACATTGCAGCTGCTCTTATCGAATCAACCCCTCCCAACTTTAGTTTTATGAGTCAGGAAAGAATGCATAAGAAAGGAGGTGGAGTTGCTATTCTGTTCAATGATTCCATTCAATAGAGGAAGACATCTTATGGGAACTTTTCTTCTTTTGAATATGTGGCCCTTCGGCTGAAATGCTCCTCTCGAGCCCTGTTCCTAAATATCTATAGACCACCCAAATACTGTGCAAGCTTTTTTGATGACTTTACTGAATTGCTGTCTATAGTGTGTATTGACTTTGACCGTCTAGTCATTGTTGGTGATTTTAACATCCATGTTGACAACCCCCAGGACAGAGGGGTAAATAACTGTTTTGTGTTCTTGATAACTATGGACTGACTCAGCATGTGACGGAGCCCACGCACAATAAGGGGCACACTCTGGATTTAATTATCTCAAAGGGTCTGAATATCTCAAAGGTTGTGGTGACTGATGTTTCACTCTCTGATCATTCCTGTGTTTTCTTTGAGAGCTCTATTTCTGTTCAAAAAAATGTTCAAAAAGAGTTAACCACAAAGCGATATTTAACTGAAAATACTAGGGACATTTTTACTCAGAATTTTTCTTCCACACTTGCCCCTGCTAAAATCTCAGTAAATGAGCTAGTAGATCATTTTGATTAACGAAAATATCTCCATGGAGAAAGGCCATGACCGTGAAAACAGAAAAAAGAGTGTTGAAAAGCTGAACGCAGGTGGCGAAAAAAAAATCTCCGCGTTCATTTTGAAAGAGAGACTTGGCTTTTATAAATTGGAATTGAAAAATGCACGGCAGTCTTTCTTCTCTGACATCATTGCCATAAACCAAAACAACGCACGTGCCTTGTTTGCTACAATTGACAGACTAACTAACCCCCCACTGTCAGTAGCCTCTGAATTTATATCCACCAGGGCCTGCAATGAATTTGCCTCCTTCACTGACAAAATTCAGATATTTAGACAAGCAGTCAGTGCCTCTGTATCAGGTACAGCAAAAGTGTTGTCCCTGTGTCCACTTCAAATCAATTCAAACACCATGACACAATTCCATCAGATTAATGATAAAAACCTAGAGGACATTATTCAACTTCTGAAATCCTCCTCCTGCTGCCTTGATATTATGCCTACAGGATTTTTAAAAAAAAAACGTTTCATTGCATGGCCTCAGATCTACTTCATGTAGTAAACACATCTCTTCAATCAGGTGTTTTTCCACAGGCTCTAAAAACGGCAGTCATCAAACCTCCCATTTCTAGGTAAAATCATTGAAAAATAAGTTTTTCAACAGTTGAGTAATTTCTTGCATTTAAATAACTGTTTCAATGTGTTCCAGTCAGGCTTTCGTCCAAACCACAGCACTGAGACTGCTCTTGTACTGTAAAGGTCTTCAATGACATCCACTTAAACACAGACAGTGGCAGAACTTCAGTGTTAGTATTATTAGATCTCAGTGCTGCGTTTGACACTGTTGACCACAACATATTACTAGACCGACTGGAAAACTGGGTGGGACTTTCGGAAACAGTTCTAAATTGGTTTGAATCCTACTTAAAGGACAGACAAAACTTTGTTTCTATAGGTAAATACACATCTGAGTTGACAAATATAACATGTGGGGTTCCTCAAGGCTCCATCTTGGGGCCTCTTCTCTTTAACATCTACATGCTACCACTGGCTCAGATAATGAAAAACTACAAAATAAGTTACCATAGCTATGCAGATGACACACAAATTTACACAACCATTTCACCAGGAGACTATGCTCCAATTCAGACACTGAGTAAGTGCATTGAACAAATCAATGACTGGATTAACTTTCTCCAATTAAACAAAGATAAAACTGAGGTAATGGTTTTTGGAGCCAAGGCAGAACGTATAAAAGTTAGCACTGAGCTTCAGTCTGCAATGTTCAAAACAACAGATGAAGCCAGAAATCGAGGTGTAGTCATGGACTCTGACCTGAGTTTCAACTGTCACATTAAAACAGTTACTAAATCAGCCTACTATCACATAAAGAACATATCTAGGATTAAAAGACTAATGTCACAACAGGATTTGGAAAAACGTATCCATGCTTTTATCTTCAGCAGACTGGACTACTTTAATGGTGTCTTCACAGGTCTCACTAAAAAATCCTTTAGAAAGCTGCAGCTGATTCAGAACGCCGCTGCTTGAGTCCTTACCAACACTAAGAAAGTGGATCACATCACTCCTGTTCTGAAGTCTTTACACTGGCTTCCTGTGTGTCAAATAATTTATTTCAAAAATACTGCTGCTGGTTTATAAAGCACTGAATGGTTTAGGCCCAAACTACATTTCTGATCTACTGCTAAATTATGAACCATCCAGATCTCTCAGGTCTTCAGGGACTGGTCAGCTTTCTGTCCCCAGAGTCAGAACTAAACATGGTAAAGCAGCGTTCAGTTATTATGCTCCAAATATCTGGAACAAACTCCCAGAAACCTGCAGGTCCGCTGCAACTCTGACTACTTTTAAATCCAGACTAAAGACTTTTCTTTTTGCCGCTGCTTTTAATTAATATATTCATATATTAAACTGCACTGTAACTTTTATTATCTTTGCTTTTTATCTTTGCTTTTAAATTAGTGTTTTTAAATGTCATTTTATATCATTGTTTTTAAATTAGTGTTTCTAGATATCATTTTATAATATGTTTCTTAATGCTCTTAATGTCTTTCATTTTTGTAAAGCACTTAGAATTGTCTTGTGTTGAAAGGTGCTATATAAATAAACTTGCCTTGCCTTGCCTTACAAATCCCTGGCCCAGAAAGCTTATTCTAAGTCTATCGACAAGTATAGCTGAGTTGGTTAGGAATGTTAGCTATTGGTTCCATTTTGAACCAAAGAGTAATTCAAATTTGGATGCTGGATGAAAAGTCAGAGGTAGTAAGTTTTTACTAGAAGAAAAATATGTCAGAAGAAAGTCAGGGAATTCATCATTTTTGGAAAGTGGAGTTTGATGGCAATCTATCCATCGTTTTTAAAGGTATTTTAGTGTATATTAAAGTGGTCGACTGACTGACCGACTACATTGCCATCATATTATATTAATTCTTCAATATTAAATTCGCCAATGTTTTTACGTGTGTGTTCACTGATACAGCATAAACAGTTGCAGCATATCTTAAGTTAATCCTATATGAAGGACACCAACCGTTTGTGGTGTATCTTACCACAGTGTCCAGTCCCAACAGAATGAGCATAATGAAGAAGCAGGCGGCCCACAGCTGAGGCACGGGCATCATGGCAACAGCCTGAGGAAAAGCGATGAATGCTAGCCCCGGGCCTGCGAGGACAGAAGAGACATTTGAATCGTTGTGAGGGTACTTTTGATTCTGAGAGAGATGGTAGAGATGGTAGCTTTGCACTTGAAAATCGTACCTGATGTGACGACCTTTTCGATGGGAATGCCCTGTTTTTCGGCCATGAATCCGAGACATGAGAAGACTGCAAACCCGGAAACTAAGCTGGTGCAACTATTGAGCACACATAACCACACACTGTCCCTGCATACACAAACACAAAGCACAGCATGTAGAGCAGAACTCAGTGGGAAAATGTACTGACAGTAATAGACTTTATGTTGTTGGGCGGACAATCCGTCCTTAGGTAGTTTTGATGTTCTTATTGCCCCTAGATGTATCTATATCTTAAGGTAGTTCTAGTTTTCATCTTTGAGATTTACAAAAGAAAGCAAAGCTACACTTCATCCCCTATTTCTTAGTATTGTTTGAATGCAGTCATACATTATTATATAACCCAGCACGTGGCAGATACTCAAAGAAAATAAAAACTCAATCAACAAAAGCTCCCAATATATTAATGGAGCTACTGATCACATGACTAACCTGTAACAGTTGTTTGTGACTTTGTTGTAGCTGCTCATTGTGATATGGGTTCCTGATGCGACGCCATAGGAGAAGAGGACCTGGGCACAAGCCTCCATCCACACCTCATGAAGAAATATTTAAAAAACACGTATTTAGATCATCAGCGTTATAACAGTCACAGGAGGATCTTGTTTCATCTACCTTCTTTTGTGTATTCAATTCAGGTAGGTGTGAAACTGTGCAGGGTCTACCTGAAGGTCCACCAGGCGAGAAGGATCTGGATACAGGTAGTAGACCACACCCTGCCAGGCCCCCGGCAACGTCAACCCCCTGACCAGCAAGATGGCCAGCATCACATAGGGGAACACAGCCGTGAAATACACCACCTGAGATGAATAAAAACAATCCTCTATGTTTATTATGTTACCTGTTTTTAGAGGTCTACTTAATATGTTATACTGCATATGAACAATACAACAACATGAACAATGGTAGGTAGCTCATTTGAATTAAGAGGAATCAATTGTACAGCTACCAGGAGATGCACATCCTGCACCTGGTAGGATACCTGCAGAAAGGTTGTAACGGGTAAAAAATACATTTATATAAATCCAAGAGCACAAACACAGATAGAAAAAATGCATGTCATTGGAGTTCATGTCTAATATTTTAGAGGAGAGTGGACAATGTCTTTAATTCCAATCAAACTTGGAATGTGTACGTTTTCTTTGCAAAACTACAGGTGGCATTGTTAGGAAAATATCACTCGTCACCGGCTTGAGCTTCAATAATCAGGATACATGTATTTATTATCCTCACATCAATCAATCAATCAATCAATGTTTATTTATATAGCCCAATATCACAAATGTTACATTTGTCTCAGTGGACTTCACAGTTTGTACAGAATATCAGTATGACAATGCGACACCCTCTGTCCTTAGACCCTCACATCGTACAAGGAAAAATCCCACAGTTTAAAGGGGAACATGGGAGAAACCTCAGGGAGAGCAACAGAGGAGGGATCCCTCTCCCAGGACAGACAGATGTGCAATAGATGCCGTGTGTAAATTGAAGAGATAATACATTTACAGCGTAGGTAGACCAAATGTTTGGAAATGCATGTGTCTATAATAAGAAGATGAATCCACGAGGATGTCAACAATCCTGTGGGAGCCATCAGGGAAGTAGTATGATGAGAGTCAGGCAGGACCGCAGAGACTGGTTCAGCCACGACTCGAAGTCCAGGACTCAAATCCAGAACTCAGGATAGAGGATCCAGGACACAGGACCGCAGCAACAGATTCAGCCAGGACTCAGGATCCCGGCGTAGATAGAAACCAAAAATAAATTTGGGGGAAGCTGGGTTATTTGGAACATGAGAGTACACAGGTACAGACAGACAGAAGGAAGAAGTAAGGTGTCCCCCGACAGTCTAAGCCTATAGCAGCAAAACTAACGTGTCTGCGTACATGCACTCCCTTAGGATAGGTTGAGGGAAAGGGGTAGCAAGTAAGAAGTAAGGAACAGAGGTGGAGAGGCACAACGCAAGGGCGCCGGAAGCAGGGGGGCCAGGGGGCCATTGCCCCCCCCCACTTTACAGCCCTGCCCCACATTTTCGCAGCGGCGGATGCCGCGGAATACTGTACATATCCCGTTTCAATAATTCTCCTCTACTCTAAAGTTGCATCTAAAAATCTGATCTAGCTGTGTATATTTTGTTATTTTTGATTGTTATATTCAATCTCATTAGCTACAGGCATTTTTTAAGCTTGTAAAGGGAAGATGACAGCTCTCTCTCGCCACTCTGCTGTTCCACAGCGCCGCTTCCCCTCCCTCCGCTGAAATTATGAATGTAAGGCGTATAGTAATCATAGGTAACACGGCAGGTTCCGTTACAGTTTTTTTTCAGTTGATTTCAAATAAACAATGTTTTAGTTTAAAGTTTATACGCAATTTTTGCCCCCCCCCACTTCTAAAATGAATCCGGCGCCGCTGGCACAACGTGTCTACGTTCATGCACTCCCTTAGGATAGGTTGAGGGAAAGGGGTAGCAAGTAAGAAGTAAGGACCAGAGGAGGAGAGGCACAACGTGTCTACGTATATGCACTCCCTTAGGATAGGGTTAGGGAAAAGAGTAGGAATTAAGATGTATGCGCCACATCTATACCATGAGCGCATTGCTCCTAAACATTTTTTTTGGCACTGATACCAATCAACAGTTGTGCGTCGACTCTGCAGGGATCAAGGCATGGGAAAGGGATGTGCCTCTCCCTGCTTCCACCGTCAACACCAGCGGTGAAAAAACTAAAATACACGGTGGGCCAAAATTAAAAAATCTGTACTAGTCGAGGGCCGGACTGGTTCAATGTTTATTGCATAACTTATTGTAATGAACTTATTGCACACAGTAAACCTGGAACTAACAAAGCTTAAATTACTGCCTATAAAAACAACATTAAACATTAAATAATCAGTTGCATTAATTTCTTATGGCTTTATCTGCAGCTTTTCCGGAGTCATTTCTTACGATTACATTTTCCCACAGACCAACAACAGCTTAAAAAAAAATATTTCCATCCATCCATCTTCTCCCGCTTATCCGTGGTCGGGTCGCGGGGGTAGCAGTTCCAGCAGAGAGCCCCAAACTTTATTTTCCCTGGCGACATCAACCAGCTCTGACTGGGGGATCCCAAGGCGCTCCCAGGCCAGCGAAGAGATATAATTCCTCCACCTGGTCCTAGGTCTACCCCTTGGTCTCTTCCCAGCTGGACGTGCCTGGAACACCTCCCTAGAGAGGCGCCCAGGTGGCATCCTAACTAGGTGCCCGAACCACCTCAACTGACTCCTTTCGACGCGAAGGAGGAGCGGCTCAACTCCGAGTCCCTCCCTGATGACCGAACTTCTCACCTTATCCCTAAGGGAGACACCAGCCACCCTGCGGAGAAAAACAATTTCCCTCAAAGAAAAAACCAAACATGCTCTGTTGTTAGCAAAAAGAAAAAAAGTGCAGAATGAAACATCCATTAAACTCAGTGTGCTGCTCTGTGATGCTAGTTCAAGCCAGATACTTGGCATCTCATCTTGGGTGCAAGTTCATCAATGTTTGGGCTCAGGCTCTGAGCTGAGGTGTGCGTGCAATATACCGGCGGGCCAGATCTAATAGTAATCAAACATTATCCTGTGGGCCAAAATGAAATCCACCAAGGGCCTTGAGTTTGACACATGTGGTCAACACACACAACCAAATTACATCTATACCATGAGCACATTGCTCCTAAAAAGTGTTTCTGGCACTGACACCAATCAGCAGTTGTGCGTCGACTCGGCAGGGATCAAGGCACGTGTATGCCTCTCCCTGCTTCCACCGTCTACCAGAGGTGGGACCAAGTCATTGTTTTGCAAGTCCGTGTCAAGTCTCAAGTCTTTGCGCTCAAGTCTGAGTCAAGTCTCAAGTCAGGATGGGCAAGTTCAAGTCAAGTCCTAAACTCTGACAAAACAAGTCTTAAACAAGTCATTATGTGCTTTTCACCAAATGTAATGACATTGATCAACAGAATAATACTTAATAATCAAACTGCTCTTTGTTAGTCACATTAATCATTTAATAATCCATTTTCTCTCTGCTGGTAAAGTAACATGTGTTTTTCTAATTTAAGAGGGATCAGTAAGGTAATGCTACCGTGACAGTTTGATTCAGAAGGAGTTTAATGTATAAGATCCCTGATGTTGAGGTAACCAGAATATTTATTTCCACTGTGTACAACATGTTATAAGGGACCCACAATCTATCTTTATGCAAGGGATAATGTGCAGCGAGGCGGTCTCTATGGGGAAAAGAACACCTGAATCTAGATCCCTCTGCAGGTGGTACTTTAACTATATTTTGATAATACTTTTGTACTTTTACTTGTAACATTTTGAATGCAGGACTTTTTATTGTAACAGAGTATTCCGACACTCTGGTACTTTTACTCAAGTACAAGATCTGAACTTCTCCCACCTCTGAGTGGTTACCAAAAAAAACCCCACATATAAGATAAGCTAGGTGCCTTCTCCTCTGCCAAAGCCCCTCTTACCTGTGGGGTTCCCCAAGTCCCCATCCTTTTTCTACTGTACATGTTCAATTACTATGTTCAATTCTCACAAAACACAACATCCCCTTCCATTGTTACGCCGATGATGTACAGATCTATTTGCCTCTCAATTCTAATGTCAACTCATTACAGCTATTGATGGACTACTTGACAGAGATCAAATCCTGGCTGAGCAAACATTTCCTCAACCTCAACGAGAACACGACCGAGGTCATCTTTTTTGGACCCCAACCTCCAGCCTCTCCAGTTGATATTCTGGGCTGCCTCAATAAAAAACATCCTCCCCTCTGTCATGAACCTTGGAGTGACCTTCAATAGCGCTTTTCAATTTGATAAGCAGATTAGCAGCGTAGTCAAAACCTGCTGTTTTAAAATACGACTATTGGCCAAGACAAAGTCGTTTTTATCTTTTAAAGATCTGGAAAGGGTTATTAACGCCTTTGTAACCACAAGGTTGAAATATTGCAACGCCCTATACGTGGGTATGGACCAGGCGTTAATTAGACGCCTGCAGCTAGTGCAGAACGCAGCTGCACGTCTTCTCACTGGCCACAAAAAGCGTAACCACATCACCCCAATTCTGGCCTCATTGCACTGGCTTCCAATTAGGTTCTGCATTGATTTTAAACTCATTTTATTTGTTTTTAAAGCACTAAATGGGCTGGCTCCTGCCTATATAGCCGAACTCCTCCATCGCCACACCCCAGCCAGAGCATTAAGGTCGGCTGACCAGCTGCTGCTGGTAGTGCCCAAGACCAGGCTCAAAACCCGAGGGCACCGAGCCTTCGCAGCAGCTGGCCCTAGGCTCTGGAACACTCTGCCCCTCCATGTGAGGTCGGCCTAGACCCTAGGGGTTTTTAAATCAACACTAAAAACTAACTTCTTCTCCCTGGCCTTCTAGTCAGAGCGGAGCACGACTCATGACATTTCCCTGTGTTTTGATTTTTATATTTGCTGTTGTAATTGATTGTCTTCTGTTTGTGACTGTAGTAATGTGTTATTTATTATTTGCATGTACAGCACTTTGGCTCTACCAAAAATCGTTTTCAAAATGTGCTATATAAATAAAACCTGATTTGATTTGATATTCATATTATTTAATAAAGAAGTGTTAATTAATGGAAAAACTTCCTTTAACAGATTAGTTGGAATTGGGTCTAAGATACACGTTGATGGTTTAAAAGAAAGAATAATTGAATTAAATTGTTCAAGGTGTATGGTTGAAAAGCATTCTAATTTACTATATAGTGTAATATTAGAACTTACGTTTCTGGGAGCTGTTGATAACA